TGGGTAAGGAAGGGGGGGGGGGGCAGCACCCAGGATGATTTGCGGTGAGTAAAGTTACATCCTATACGAAGCACATTTGGATGTTCAGTTCAGAGGAGCAAATGCTTGAGGCTAAAACATTGTGCTGTCTGCATCCATTGTTTTCCACCCCTCACTTGACTTATGAAGAAATACACAGAAAAAGAATCATATCTCTTTGCCCCTGGTGTGTGCTTCCTCTGGATCTTTATGGGCTCTCCAGGCAGTGTTCGAAAGGAGCTAACACAGCAGAGCCGCTCCTCAGGTTGTCTGGACTTCGTTGTGTGTGTTGTTTATTCTTCGTCTCATCACGTGTTGACTGGACTGTAACAAGAGGTGAAACATTGTGCGAGGCTTGTTTTGATTATTGATAATTTGCTTGTTTTTGTCGGCAGTAGTGTTTTAATCATGGGTTTGTTGTAGAGTTCGTTTTGGATGGTTTGTACTGTGCACATGAATTCTCCACAGGTAATTGTGATTATATTAAATTGGTAATTGTATTATATTTCGAGTTGCCTTGTAGAAACTGGTTAAAAGGACAACGTGTGTATACAGCAAACTGTCTTATTTACAGTATTTTACCAGATGATTATTAAGCACTGTCCCTATCAAATAAACAAACAAGTGATCTATTTTCTGAGTAAATGCAGCCACAGTCCATTTTTGTGAGAAACAAACTGAATAAACCCAGCAGGTCCACAGTTATTATTAGTTTGATGGTTCATGATATCTGTTTTTGTGCCAGTGACAGCTGTGGCCGGAGGCATTTTGTTTTCTGAGCTAACCGTCTGTCCCGTTCTCAGAAACGTGATAACTCAGAAACACCTCGAGCAAATGTCCACCGCGAATCACGTGAGGCTTTGATGATCAGAGGCCAAAGGTTAAAGTCACTGTTAATCTAATGTCTGTACAATTCTTGTGAGCGCAATATATCAGGAACACCTGGGGGGGGATTTTTATAATCTAATCTGGAACAAACGTTGACATGGACGAGCTGATTAGGTTTTGTGGTCAAAGGTCAAAGGTCACTGTGACCTGAATCCAAATTTTACAAAAATGTCTACAAGTGTAAATATGATGTTATGACAATTCATATCCAAAAGGAGTTAGACACCCTTTTTCAACTGCTTCTCCATTTGAGGTCCACCAAGGAGCTAACGATTTTCCCTTCTCCATGTGTTTGTTGGTTGGTTGGAAAAACAGCTAAACAGATTATCACAAAACCTGGTTGAAGGATGTGGAATGAGTCAGGGAAGAACCCATTCGATTGTGGTGTGGATCCGGATCAGGTGGCGGGTCCAGGAATTCGTTTTCACTTTCTTAAACATCGCAAGGTATTCTTCAACTTTCTTCATGAATATTGATTTAAAAAAATTTGTGCAGCATGATTGGATTTTTAGGAGTCTGTGCTATGTGCTCTACTGAGTGCCAATCTAATTATACAGTTTTACTCTTTGGACGAAGTTTCCTCTTCTCACTTCCCTTCTCTTGGCATCTAAACAGGTGATTTATTTCTAATTTCATTCAGCCTCCGGTTTTTCATTCACAAAAAATAAAAATGCTCTTAGACTGCTAGAGTTTCCTTTGCACACATTTATAGGACGGCATATCTTGCAATGCATCAGTATAGCTCATCTCAATGACCTTGTTCTTCCCTGGCTTTAACAATGGTTTAGGGTGATGCAATCAGAAGCGGACACCAGTTATATTCAGTCATTTGATCAAACGACTTAAGGCCACATTCTTCAAGCAGCGTGTCCGCAAATGCTTCCTGAAGGACCACCTACTCAACTGACATCCTCTGTGTAAGAGGAAGTGCCATACTCATTCATATTCTCAAAACGCATGAGCTGGATTTGAGTGTGATGTCTGAAAATTTAGAAAAACCCACAGAGATATGATACGAGTGTGTCGGGGCCCATGAGTGATAACAACGAAGTAGCAGGGAACAAGAGAAGCTTGAAGCCTCTTTCAAATCAGCACACGGCGACCTTGTGATTACAAAGAAAGAAAAGAAAACCTTGGAGTTGTCATCTTTTCTTTTCTTCTGCTCAACTCTGTTTAATATTTTCTCATTATCGGAGGAGATGCAGTTGCCAATTTGTCCCCAGTAGAAATGAATGGCACTGTTCAATATGTGTGGTCCATGTGAAAAGAGTGTGTCTGTACATGTCTTCTTTATTACCTCCCCCAAGGACGTTATGTTTTCATCTGTGCTTGTTAGTTAGCGGCATTACACAAAACTCAATTGCCAAGAAAATTGGTGGAAGGACATGGTGTCAGGAAAAAGCCCGTTAAATTTTGTTGGATACAAGATTTTTTGTTCTTACTCTAAGGTTGCGAGACGACCGGGTGTTTATCAACATGTTTTCTCATTTTCTCAATAAAATTAGAAACCTGCAGCTACAGAAACTAGTTTTTATCCAAATTATGCAGAAGATATAGAGTTTACTAAATGCAGCATGAGACTGTATAATGTGTGCAGAATGCATTTGTAAACAGCATTGCTCATTTTGTTCTGTTGCTTCATACAGTTTCCTGTGACAACCCTGAATAATGGATGTCATTGCATGACTGTTTTGCTGCTTCTTGTCGTTCTGCACAGATTTCACTGCCCTCCTCGTTTTTTAGAACATTTTACCCAAGAGATTTAAAATGATCCTGACACACTGACAGAAATAGAAATACTAAATATTTGTGCACTGCCTATATAAAGATATATGCAGGGTCCTGAACCGACATATACAAGTACAATGAATGAAACAGAATATAACATCTGACAATATATTTACTGTCGGTATAGATTTGATTAGTCTGTCTATACCGTTTAAATTCATTTTATTATGTTATCCATCTGTGTATAAGAAGGCCGTCCGGGTGGCTGATGTCATTTGTCTTCTCGGAGTCAGTGTGGACATTGTGGTCAGCTGTTTTCACTGAAGCACCAGCACCCATCCTCGACATAATTGGTGTGGAGAGAGCATGTAACGGCTATGCATTTATAATGAGGAGATTTTCACTTCTCATAAACAGGAGGCAGGAGAGTAGAGATATGAGCAGGAGGAGGAACAAGGAATACGGACCAAAAAGGTGATACGAGGATTGAAGAGTCTTTTGACAGAGCTGGCAGAGTGGTGACTCTAAATTGCAGTTTGTGTGGTGTGTGTGTTTGTGTGTGTGTGTGTGTGTGTGTGTGCGTGTGTGTGTGTGTGTGTATATATATATGTGTGTGTTTGTGTGCATGAAGGAGTGGGAGAGCCATCCTTCTCTGGAGGCTTGTGTGCATTATATTCCTGTGTTAATGCATTCATGCATGTCTGTGCCATGGCATCAATTTAATGTAACCAGAACATACATGAGGGTGTGAGTGTGCATGTGTGTGACAGAGAGAGAGAGAGAGAGAGAGAGCTGGAGAGGAGGCTTGAGATGGGGGGGGGGGGGTAAAGAAGTGAAGAACCACACAGAACAAAGACGTCAAGCAATTTTTGAAGATAACACAAAAAGCAGCAGTGAGTCTATTCAACCAGCCTGAGCCGTGTGACAGTTTTCCTCTCCATCTTTGATAGACACGGCATCAGACGTGGACTTGAAAGTAAAAGAGAGAAACAAAAAAAAAAAAGACAAGAGACAAGTCATGTAACAAGAGACAGGGAGAACGCCAATTTTGTTCTTTCAATAGTCGCAAGGGGGGAAATAGCATGTTCCCCTTGTCTATCACTGACTCAGGAATCATTAGCCTAATTATATGGAGACTGAAGTTAGACTGTGTGTGTGTGTGTGTGTGTGTGTGTGTGTGTGTGTGTGTGTGTGTGTGTGTGTGAGAGAGAGACAGCTGCACACAGTAACACAATGTTTAGACCCAGTGTTTGAGTTTGGTATTAACAGGGATAGAAAGATGGAGAGATTTAATTGGATGCCTCATCTTTTTTCTCTTAAGAGGAGATGTTCTTTGTTCGTGTGTATCAGTGACATTACGGAGATATAATTGATCTAACCACAATCTCACATTGTGGGGACTCGGGGGATAAACCACTGAATGTCAGGGTTATAACTTCAGATTTAAGTGAATATTAGAATTACAGCGAGGCGTTTAACACGCTTGGAATACTTTAACATGAGGGATACTGCTGGCTTAGCTTCGCGTGAACTCCACTTTGCTACCTGTAGGGGGCGCACTACTTCCCATGTGTGGTGCAGATTTGTCTGAAACGGACGTAATTCTTAGAGATTTGATCCGTGTTGGTGTTACCAATCCTGGTGAAACTCCGGACAATAAATCAATTTTTGCACTTAGGCTACAGAAGCTCCTCCTTAAAATCTGGGAGAAATGGTTTATTATGATTCTTCGAGGTAGATTCTGGTCAAGAGGTCCAAAGCCAAACAGCAAAAATGGAAAATCTGTCAAAATTTGGTGTTATAAAAGTTAGAGCCATTTTTAGCCTTTTAGTCACAGCATTTAAATAGCACACTTTAAATAGTCTAATTAGCTGCTGCTGCTGTGTTACATATTTTGCGGCTCATTAGTCAGTGAAGCCAGATGCAAACAACCAGTTTGTTTTTCCATTCAAATTAGCCGAATCTAAATATTGGATTAGATTTTTGGTATCAGACAATATGTGTTTTTGAAGAAATATATATTAGTTTTGCTCTTTTTATTGTAATTTGTTGTAAAATGCGTATCATCAGCTTGTTAAGTGTTCAGGGATTTACTGCAGAAAAATGCAACATGCTCCTCAGTGTCAAAAACATGTGTGTGTGTGTATGTGGGTGTATGTGTGTGTGGGTGTGGGTGTGTGTGGTGGTAGGGGGAGATGCAGGAGGGAGTGAGGCGAAACAGTCACATGCACAACAGACTGTCAAGGAACAACTCCTCGCTGCCTCTCTCTCTCTTTCTCTCTCTCTCTCTGTCTCTTTTTATCTGACTTCCTCTCCACTCCCACTCTCCTGCTCTTCCTCCTCCAGGACGCCGCTCTCCTCTCTCCCTTCTCTCTTCTCCCCCGATTTCATCTCAACTTGAACTATTCTTGCATTTAATTTTTAATGCCACATGTAGAGTTGGCTCACTCCCATTCTCCCCCTCTCTCTCCCCTCATCTCTCCCTCTCTCTCTTTACTCTCTGCTCCTCTCTTCACCACCTGTTAGTCTCCCTGTCCTCTCCGCACTGGGATCCCCCCTTTTTTTATGAGGAGTTTCACACTTGCGTTATCACTGAGGTAAGTCAACGTTTGATTCCATTTGTCTTAACGTTATGGATATGTATTGTTCTCTCTGTCGTTTTCATGGATTCACTTTTATGCTTCCTCCTTTTTCTTTAAAACACGTTTCCCTTCTCGCTTCACGCCCTCAGCCTCTGTCATTACATCCTCCCCTCACCTGTCTGTGTGTTCACGCATGTGTGTGTGTTTCTTGTTAAACGCTGCAGGAGGGAAGGAAAACGAATGCAGTGAAAACCAGACGGACACATTTGAACCTGCATCATTCTCACACAGCAAACAGGTGCAACATGTGGCAGCCTGTGTTTGAATTCTTTCCCCTTTACTTTTCCAACACACACACACACACGCACACTGAAGTTTACTCATCCTTGGCAGCCTGAAAATAACTTGGCTCTAATTGACAGGGGCTCACTGTCACTGTGGTTTGCGATGTTGCTGACTATCAAGCCCTAATGAGTGGCTACGGTTTGAAGCTCTGTGCTCTACACCATCTGCCTGCCAGCCATGCAGCTTGTTATTTAAAGGTGAAGGGAGCCCGCTGCAGGGGCCCATTGTATGTAGGACACAAGAGAAGAAGAAAACCAGTTGAGGGACAGAGAAAGAGACGGAGAGACAGACACTCGCATACCTACAGGTGGAATAATGGTGCCTGTGAGAGACTGACGAAGAGATGATGAGGGAGATAAAGAGGGGGGGGAGGAGGAGAAAAGGTGTGGATGAGGATACAGAGTTGGGGGGGTTAGGAAAGCGAGCCCCCATGCCTGTGATATGACTCTAATGTAAAGTGAAGGCGCTAAAAGAGGAAGACAAGGAGGCACAAAGATGTTCCTGACTGCTCGCTACTGGCAGCTTCACTCCTCCCACTGGAAACCTATGTAACCTCACAAATAAGAGAGGGGCCACGCATGATATACTGTACTGTACATGGTTGCATAACAAATGGCCGTGGGGCTGCTGCACATAGCTGCTGTGGACAAGTTGGACCTTTAGGTTTGTAGCTTATGGGAATTATGCAAAGTAGCTCGGCCACGTGCTCCAAGGCTGACGGTCATGTGTGTATCTATGTGAGCGTTAATGCATACAAACCTGCTGCAAAGTGCGAGGGGGGGAAATCTGCACCTTATTATTGTTGAGGGTGCACCGCCACACCCCTCAGCAACAAAAGAGGATGATGAAGAGAGGAGATGAGAGAGATATTCCAGCTGGCAGCATGAGAGCGATCAATCATCAGCTCCCCGTGAGCTTCTGCTTCCCGCAGGCTGCGAGCCACCAGGCCTCCCCGGTCGAACGTGTGCTGCTGCTGCTTGTGCTCGGGCAGCCAGGGGCTTACGGCCACATCTGCCAGGACTGGGAGGCGACTGACTGCGCACATTATATCAACAGACACCCGCTCGCGAGTCTGCACAGTGTGTGTATGTGTGGGGACATGAATTAATGATCTGAGGGAAGTGCATCTGTATGTACGTGTGCCTGTCGTTATATTGAAATTAATGAAGATGATCATTATTATCTACTCATCGATTTCATTTGAACTTTCAATCAGTTCAATCATAAAAATCATTACGATGACAGCGAGTTGCATTAACTTGTTTTCACCTTCCCCTTGTCTTGAAATCTCCCTTTTTGACTGAAGGGGATTTCCTCCTGTTGTTTTACTGTTCAGACTGAAATGATAGTAATGATGAGAACTGTTTCATCTCCTCTCTACATTAATCCCCCTCTTTTTTGAAGAGCTGCAGGCTTTAATGTGTGTGCAAGAGTCTGAGTTTATCTCAGTGCTACTTAATTTAACACTGTTGAAGTCTGATCGCTTCATCTTTGCCGCAGAAGTCAAGTTAATTGTGGTGTTGTGGTCCTTAGATGCACCAAAATGGCTGCTGTTGGTTTTGGAAAGGCAAATTACCACTGCAGTTTCCAACGTCCATCACTTCGCACTCCAGAGCCAAATTCTGTCTAAGCCGTTTCAGTTAAAGGAGTTGACGAAGCTTGCAGATGGGCGCGCTGCACCGTGTTTCTGAAGTTTGTTTCATCTCCAGCCAAAAGAAAAGCTGGATGAGCTGCAGCGTGCATCACCAACTGTTGAGCTCGCAGCAGAGACACTGGACCCAACATGACAAATGACCCTCGCTGCTGGCTGAAGGTCAACAGCCCACTCTCCACCATTGGTCATATTGATTTATGGGTTGAAACCCTTTAGACTGAAGGATCAGATAATAATTCACTGGTTTTAATTCCTCACACAGATGAGAGCAGTTGAAAACCCAGCTATCAATATGAAAGGAAAAGATTTGCTTTGTCCGAAAGTAAATCAGTTGAAATCTGTATGTATGTGAGAACGCAAATGTCTGAGTCAGTCGCTCAGGACATTTTGCTGAACTTTTCCCTCCAGCCTCCTTGTAAGATGTCTGGAAAATGTCCGAGGGAGCCCATGTGAGAATACAGCAGGAACATTTCTGGAAAATGCACAGAGAGCAAATGGACGGGTTGATGACGGTGCAATAAAAAACAAAGACGAGAATACAAATATGCAGAGAAGCGATTTGAACTTCTCATCTAACTCTCATTAACAAAGCCAACAAGTGTATTTCAAACACTTCCTCTAGTATTGATTCAGGTTTGAGATCATCCTGTCCTCCAATGAATATAAAAGGTCATCATCAATAAATGAAAACCCTCACTTCTTTTTGTGGGCTTTACTTTCAGCTCCTTAAGCCGCAGCTCGACTAGACCACTGATCTTAACCATTTCCTAAATCCTCCTAAAACCTTTTCCAAACTTCACAGACGTTCGACTTCTACCAGACGACACAGAGGAAGTGCTAATATTCTCCTCTGAGTTTGGATTGATTAATGCAGAGATAGCAGAAGGGAGTCTCAGGGGATTTGTTCAGTACGGCGAGCGCGACGCCCCCTCAAGGCCTGCGGTCTTTAGACAACAAAAGCTGTGAGGTATTTGCAATCCACCCCCCTCTTGTTTATTTTGGGAAGAGAGCAGACACATCAGCCTGGTGGTCAACTGCACACCCTGCAACCACAACTTTATATAATCATCGGGACTCTTCTCCCCATCTGAGCACAGTGAAGAGCGATCCACCCTCTAGACTTCATCCCATAATTACCTGTCGGTCTATGGAGGACTGTCAAGCACTTCAGATAACACGTGAGCCTCACTGACTCACACACTGCAATTTCATCGAGGATGATTAGGATTCGGGGGAGACCCCTATTGTCCATGATCTGTTATCCTCCCTGATACGCTCAGATGTATTCTATTGAAATGTTAATGTGTGCACATCCTCTTCCCTGTTTTGTTCTTGTCATCTGAGTAATGAGTTCTCCTCATGTTGAAGGAATTTTAAGCGTCGCAACATTTAAAGATAAAAAGGAGAAGCTCTTAGAAGTTTTTTTTTCTCGCCTTTATTATGAAGTGGAAAGTGTAGAGAAAGACCGGAGAGTTAGGGGAGAGACCAACATGCAGCAAATGGCTCGAGATGACCAGAAGCAGAAAAATATCCTGTTTATTTCCAGCCATCTTGCCAAGCTTACCTTGTGTCGCTTGTTTTCGCAGAAGAATAATTGGAAACAGCTGCAGCTCATATCGGTGGATCAATGTCTTCACTCTTCCTCGGCTGAATGCATTTTTAAAATTTCAATTTCTGAATGGAAATGTCACTTTCTATCTCTCCCACCCTCTCTCTCCGTCTCTTCTCCTCCAGCCCTATGACTGTGCGAAAAGGGAAACGTTTAGGCATCTCCATCCAGGAGCACATGGCCATCGACGTCTGCCCGGGCCCCATCCGGCCCATCCGGCAAATCTCAGCTTACTTCCCTCGCCTCTCGCCCACTTCTTCCTTCTCTGAGCCACTTTCGCCAAATCAGCTGGCGGCTCCCACCTCGCTCAGCCCCGGCAGCGCAGGTCAAGGTGGAGGGGCAGTGGGCGGCGGAGGAGGCGGCGGAGGAGGCGGTGGGAGTAGCGGCCTGTTGTCCCCGTTGTTACCAGGGGGAGCGGGCGGAGGCGGCTCGCTATCAGCCATGAGCAGCATGGACACCTCCATCGAGATTGACAGCTGTGACAGTGATGATAACAGTGAGTACCTGAAAGTAATGACCTGGTTTCTCTGATGCTGCTTGAGACAAACAACGGAAATTACTTCAACACTGGTTCAAGTTTGGGAGAAAAAGCTTTGGATGCTTCAGAACAGAACTCATCATCGTTACTATTGAACATTTTGAAACAAATTAAGGGTTTCTCGTTGTTTTACCCATAGACTGTGAATAAAGATGGATGACGCGTCTTAATTTCTTCCCACTATCCAGAAATGAAGCCAAAATATCCCAGATTCAAACGCTGCCATCTGCTGCGTTGTTTCAGAGTCTGGAGCCGAGGTAGTCAGGTCCTGCTGATACACGAGCAGTTGACCAGTCATGATGTTTCCCATTTATATAGCATCAAATAAGTAATTAAAACCAAACTCAGACAATTTAGTTGGTCCATGTCCAATCAACTAACTCGGAGGAGGCAGGGTTTATGACTTATTTTGCCGCCAGCCACCAGGTGACAATTAAGATGCTCTGGCTTCACTTTTTAGGAGCTGTCATGTCATCCATCTTTATACATCATCTATGGTTTGGCTGATGACCGATGACTTTGTTGGCTTAAATGACTGCTAATGTTAGCAGATTTTCTCAGGAGTAGCTTGTACTAAGAAGCTAAGGCTAATACTGAAGTTTCAGTCTTCTCCTCTCGCTCTCAGTAAGAAAACAAATAAGCATAATTCTCACACTGTGGAACTTTAAACTAATTAAAAAGGGTCTAATACATTGAGCATATTAAGTGTTGCTTGTTTTTCTCCCCTACCGTTCTTTATTTTATTCCAGGCAATTAAGTCGAGACAAAAGCAATTACCAATGTATGTCGTGCAAAATTCCATGTTTAACTTTTTCTGTGAACTGCCTCCCAGCCTCCCTGGGGACTTTAGAGTTTGATCTCCTGTACGAGCGAGCCACCAGCTCCTTACACTGCACAGTCCTGAGAGCAAAGGTAAATACACTGCCCTCCAAAAACTCCACCAGAGACAGTTTGTCCTGTAGCAAGTCAGAACTGAAAACAACTCATCATTGTTTTAGAATATAAGACAAGATGGACAGGAATACCCCTTGTACATTTGAAGGAGTTCTGTACAATTTAAATAGCCAGTAGATGTTAGCAGGTATTAGCGGCCACAGGTAGATGATAGGGACATGACTTCAGTTGTGCATCTTAGCGTCATCATGTGTTTTGGCCTTGTGATCAACGATGCAGGCCGGACTTGAGGGTACACTGAGGCTAAAGGTAAATCTGTCTGGCTACCGGTTGTATGGCAGCACTGTGAAACCATGTGGCTGTTGTTTGTCTGATCTGTGACACAAAGATCCCTGTAATCTATTTTTTAATTGCATGCCTGCAGCAATGCTAATAGCACAACCTTTACAGATGGTTTAATACCTGTCTGTTGGTTGAGCCACTAATTAGGTCCACATTGAAATAATAAAGAGGATCAATCCTAGTGATCTTTTTAAAGACTTTGACCCAGTGTTGTAATTGTTAGGTTACTGCATTGTTACTGCACTCATGGCTGCAGTAATCATGTCAAACATTATACCTGCGAAACGTCACCATCTTACTATTGTCCTTATATGCACATTATCTTATTAGTTCTAATCTTTAATTTTTCATCTTTTAAACTGTTTGAAACAAGCTGTGAGGTCTTTGCATTCTGCTTCAGACATCTTACATCTTCTCTGTTTTTGCCTTAGGGTCTGAAACCGATGGATTTCAACGGTTTGGCAGATCCTTACGTCAAGCTGCACCTTCTCCCAGGAGCTTGCAAGGTTGGATTTTATCATCAGAACATTGTTTTGGTTATAAAATGATCTTCAGAAACACACAGTGCTGGAACTTTGAGTGCACACCCACGTTCATGCTATAATTTAAGAGTTGCCTTATGAGAATGTAAGCACAGGGCAGTAAATATGCACCAAAGCAAAATTACCTTGTAGACAGTCAGAACTTGTTCTCCTGTTGAGGCTTCTTGCTCTTTGCAGCTCTCATAAAGTTATTTAATCGTTTTCCTCTCGTCTCTGCTGTGGCGTACAGGCCAATAAACTGAAAACCAAGACCGTGCGCAACACGCTGAACCCTTCGTGGAACGAGACGCTCACCTACTGTGGAATCACTGAGGAAGACATGTACCGCAAAACACTCCGGTAAATGTTTGCCACCGAGGCTTTTTCTCTATTTCTGGCCTCTCGTCTTTCTTTCCCATCACAAAGCCAACCCCTGCTTACAAAGGCTTTCTTATCATCCATCTCAATCACACAGTGGTTTTCTTCTCCTTCTCCAGACCTTTATCCTCTAACTATGTTCCCTCTCTCCTGCTATCTCTGCTGATCCATTGATCCATCTCACCTCTGTTCTTCCCTGTCCTCGCTTTAATCCTATCCACTAGGATCTGAAAAGATCTCCCATCACTTCTTCTGAACCTTCTTTCCGTTTTCTTTCTTTCTCTGTCTGTCTCCATGCTCTCCTCTCTATCTCCAAGTTGCAGTGACAGATTGAGGGCAGACTGAGCACCGCGGGTTGTTTTTAATTTCATTGACCCCCTGCAGAGGTGACGAAAGCTGTGATTTGTCTTTGCCTGTGACTAAAACTTTGCCACTGCACACGTGGAGCAGGGATTTAAAAAGGTTTGACTGTTGATCTCTCGGGGGAAATTAGAGAAACTGGCCCGACCACTGGCCTCTTACACTTAATTCAACATGTTTAAACATCAGGAGACAGAAAGTTTGACCTATTGAGACATTTAAACATGTTGAAGTTGTCCAGTGCAAAGCTCCAACGTTAGAAATCCACTACTAAGTTCTTTTGAACAGGTTTTGAATGTGGCCACATTTTTAAATCTACATAAATCTTTAAAGCAATTTAGTGTATTTCAAGCAACCATCACAAAAAAAGATTCAAAATTGCTAAATGTGTCTTAATAACTGAAACATTATGAGATTTTTGACACAGTATTTCATAATTTTGTTTTAGAATCGAATTCCTTTAAATTAAAAACATAATAATAATTATCCATTTACTATTTAGTTATTATTTATAGTCTTTATAATTAAATTAGAGAATTGGCTAAAGTACTGATTTACTAAGATGGACAACATGACAGCTGAAAAACAAAATCCCATCTTCTCCATGTAAGCAGATGGGACATGGACCAAACTAAAAGGTAAAAAGTAATTTTTATTCACATGTCCGATATTGATATTTAAGTGACAGCGTGTGTGGATTTGAATTATCACGCTGCTCTATGGGCTTTACAGAAAATCTTTTTGATTTGTCATGGTGACAGTAAAATGTGTTTATCACATTCTCTTGCTTTTTCTTTCTCCAATGTTCTGTCTTTCCCAGTCTCCCTTTGCCTAATAAGCTACTAGACTATAGACATTACCCCTGGGGATTTCAAGCCACATCCAGTGTCCCCAGGCAACCGGCCCTTTCCACCTTTCACATTCATGCAATGCGATGTTTTGTTACTGAAACTGAACACTGAGAAATTTCATTCTGTCGGTTATGAATTCAGTTAAAAAGTTGAATAAAACAGCAAATGACGAGGCAGCGTGTTCATATCTGTTCCTCCTCTGCCACACTGCACTTTTCATTTCCCTCTCATCGCATGTTTTTCCTCTCACATTTACATAAAAGACAGAAAAAAGCAATTACAGTGGATTCCAGTTAGCCTGTAGCATGTACCGACTCTTCAGTTCTGCCTATAGAAACATTAGCACGCAATAATGACTCCCTCTCACACACAGATTTACATAAAGTCTGACGTCTTTATCTGTAGCTCTCACCCACGTCACTCCATCCTTTGCTCGGCAGCTTTTGATTTCAAATATGCAGCTTCCCTCCCTCCTGCGCTCGTCTCTGCGGCTCCCGCCCACTTATCTGTTTAGGGTGACACTATGGCCAGAGGGAAAGTTTCCCAGGCCTGTAACTGGCTTAACCTTGTACAACCACTTTCACACTATTTGAATTCCCACAGGAAGGAAAACAGTAATTAGTCGTAGGATGTTTGTATACTGATGTTTGATTTATACGTGGGTGATTTCTCAGGCTGTGAGAAAGGGTTTTATTCATGTCACGCTTCTGTCAACAAATACATTTGGTTTACTTAGTATAATGTTCCCACAACATTCGGAATAATTAAATGAGTCATTTTGTAAATGGACTGTATTTATATGGCAGTTTTCCAGTTTTATCAATCACTCAAAGTGCTTTTACAGTACAAGACTCATTATACAGTGTTATAATATAACCTTTGCCAAGGCCAACACATTTAACATTTCAGAAACCACATTTTAATTTACTAGATCCAGATTTTTATTTGGATTTGCACCAAATTTTACACACTCATAAATATCAGCCCCATAAAGATGCCACTGCCCGGCCATTGCGGCCACCAACACCACCATCTTTCATTCAGGGATTAATAAAGCCCACAATGACTTAGATAATTGATTTGTCGATGCCAAATTTTACACACTCATCGATATCTGCTCCCTGAATGTGACTGATTTTCATCAAGATCCATCATCAAATCAACAGAAATGTTGAATGACATTCTATCTCTGTTCTGTCTCACAAGGAAATTAATTAATTCTGGATCTGCCCCCTGATCCAGATACGCACCAGAATGTAATGAGTTCTTTTCTGGCTCAAAGCGCATCTGTCTACAAGTTTCATGATAATCTGTCTGGTAGTTTTTTTGCGTAATCCTGTTAATTTATAAACAACTCACCAAACAAAGGGAATATAACATAACCTCAGTGATGGAGGTTATAATTACATGAGTCATAAAATGTGATTTTGTTTGACGACCTCTCTCACACACCTCAGCTCTCCACTCCACTTAATTTTCTAACTATGCCACAGCTTCTCTCGTTTCTTTTTATTCCTGTGTCCCCTCCCTCCCCATCTTTGTCTCTCGCTCCCTTCCTTATTTTGTCCTCTCGCTCGCAGGGTGTCCGTGTGCGACGAAGACAAGCTGACACATAATGAGTTCATCGGGGAGTCGCGGGTGGCCCTGCGTCGTGTGAAGCCTGACCAGACCAAACACTTCAACATCTGTCTGGAGCATCCACCTCCTGTGAGAAGAAGCGAGGGGTGGGAGGGTGGGCAGAGAGAGGAAAGAGAGGATAAAAGGAGGGACAGATGAAAATGAATGTGCATGAGGGAGATAAATGTCTGGAGGGTAGAGTAATTGTCAATATATTAAGCGTGTCTGACTCACACAGTCATCTTTTAGAGTAGAAACAAAGATACAAGGGGAAAAGGCAAGAGAGGAAATTATCTATGTGCCAACAGGGAGGTGTGTAAATGTCAATATATCGTACCAATTTACTCCACTGACGACCACACACCTGGGACTCATAATATAAAAATTGTCTGTACAGTCTCAGAGCAGAATCGTTAAAAAGGTGCTGATGCTTCTCTGCTGGAAGAAAATGTCGCCCAGTACGTCAACTCGCTCAAGATCCACAATTTATCTGAGACCAAAGACTGACACGGGGAATAAATGAAAAGATTTTCTTGCTGCATAAACATAAGTAAGAGAAGAATACAGCAGATGTCTGAAAAAAATGTTTTACCTTTTACTTTTAATCAAAGTTGTGTGTGGCTGATACACTGGTGACCTGTGTGTCAGCTGGGATTGGCTCCAGCCCACCCTGCAGCCCTCATAGGATAGGTGGTAGAGATAATATATGAATGAAGGATGATAGTAGCACTAAAGATAAATTATGTGTAATCACCCATAAGTGACTTCTAAACAACCTCCACAAGATTTTAGAGTTGTGGCTGCAGGGATCAGTCTCATTTAGGGAGAATCAGGATTTCTCACAACTTATGAAACCACATTTAAACTCACTTGATCTGGAATTTTAGTAGGATCTGCACCAAATTGCTCACACTCATTAATATCGGTCCCCTAAGCATCATCAAGATCCATGAATTATTATTTGAAAAGTAAATGGAGATGTTAAAAAACACCATGTCAGTAAGTCTTCACACGCATCTCCCGATGCACTTGAGCACATCATCAGTGATGTGAAAGAAATTCCTGGATCTGCACCAAAATGTAATGGGATCTTTCCAGGTGGGTCATGGCCCATCCCTCCACCAAATTTCATGGAAATTGATTGAGAAGATTTTGCATAATCCTGCAATCAAACAAACAGAGGAAAACACTAGAATGTCCCTCAGTAGAGGGCACAGCTCTTCTAAGGCCCAACAATCCCTTAAATTCAATCAAGCTGCACCCGAGTGCACACACTTAATAAATATCAATCCCTTGAACATGCAAGATTATTTTTATTAAGATCCATAAATTATTCTTTGAAGATTTAAGGAAAATGTCAAAAAAAATCTGTATCCACACAAGAACTTAATGGATTCCTCTCGGAACTATACCACATCCTTTCGCTAAGTTTTGTGGTGATCTGTTTGGTAGTTTTTGCGTAATCCTGCTGATTAACAGACAAACAAACAACAGCAGATGAAAACTCACAAAGGACAGGCGTGTCTGGATACTTTTGGCCAAATTTTGTATCACGCATTAAGCCAGTATTAGCCGGTCCCCCGCTGACATAACTGAGATGATTACAGCCTCCAGAATTACAAATGTAAGGTAAACAGAGGACAGAGTATTATGACTATTCTCATAACCAACAAAAAGCTCTTTGTGCAGGCTTAATGTCAACCAGGTCACACATGGGAGAAGGGTACAGAGATACAAAAGGTGAGGAGCCAGAGCGAAGGGAGGGGGGTGGGGCTGGAGCATCAATAGAGAGACACCAAGTGAGAAAGATGAGAAACAAATGGATTAAAAAATAAAAGTGGAGGAGAGCTGGGGGGGCCTGTGTGTGAGAAGAGGCGGGAGGTGCCAGGGTTTTGTTCTTTACGAGTCGGAAAGGGCTGTTGGTATTAAATTGGCCCTCTGAGGCCAGTGGCCACTCTGCGATCAAACGCTAAAGCCACTCTGTCACCCTGCGAACCAGACGATGTGTCAGATCGGTAATTTTCAAAGTGGCTCCGTTCCCCTTCATCGTTTCCTGCTCTAAACTCAAACGTACAGCGTTTCTGTCAGTCATATCCCTTATTATTGATCTCCATGTCTTCTTTTTCAGCTGCCGTCACCGACCGCGATGAGCTCAGCCCTGAGAGGAATCTCCTGTTACCTGAGAGAGGTGAACACACGACTCCTTCACCCAGTTATTTAGACAGATTATAGCAAACACTCCTAATGTGGAACTAAATGACTTCATGGCTCCAGGGCACAAATAAAAAGATCTGTTGTAAAAGAGAGAGAATACAAACATTAGGTTAATAGTAATTTTCATTCTACGTCCACATTTTTCATTTTACTATCGTCTGCACCACAGGTTTCAACAACTGTGCGGCCACTGCGACCTAGTGCATTGCCATTTTAGATTCAGAGACAATTTAGATCATTGATTTGTCATTTTCATCATTTGACAAATGATTTGCTGTTTTGCTGTATTTAAGGATGACTGAAAGATAACTTGAATGGCACTCAGTAGAGCTCATACCTCCGATTTTCCCCTTTAATTCAACCAAGCGGCACCAAATTTCACACAGTGAAGATATCAGTCCCTTAAACGTGACTTTATTTTTCTTCAAAATGCAGGAATTCTCAAAGAAATCAATAAGAATGTTGAAAAACGCAACGTTAAAGAAAGTTATTGAAAGTTATTGATTGAGAGTTCTTCCCTGACACTCCAGCAGCCTCCATCAAGTTTCATAATCCGTCCAGTAGATTTTAAATAACTCTGGTAAATACCAAACAAATGCAGACAAAAACATAACCTGGCTGAGATACAAATAATCAGAAGTTAGAGAATACTCCACATCACCGCTAACCCTGTTGCAAACTATTTATCTGCATCTTTTATTCTCCATTCCTTCCGTGAGACGTGAAAATCAATTATTCGACTCACTTGAGTCATGTAATCCAAGCCAGCATTAATTTGTTGTTGTCAGGTAATTAAGTGCAACACGTCTCAAATCAACCTGTAGTTAAACTGGATAATTAACTTTGATTTTATATCACAGGGAAATGAATGAACACTAATGATTGCCTGATGCACCTGTCGAGACGGAGCAAAATGAAGCTCTTATTTATAACTTTGGCTGTGAATCTGGAAAAAAACATCCAATCTAGAGAAGAATAGTTCGACATCTTAAAAACCAAATTTTTCTTAAAAGAAAAGTAAAAACATTCCAGTGCAGTAAGAATATTTTATAAGTAGATCACGTGGTTTGTATTGGAATAATTCTTGTACTTCTAAGTAATTAGTATTTGCAGCTAGTTAATTAATGTAGTTGGTTCAATGTTTGCTGTTTAAAAAAACAGTGTGAGGTCAAAGTATTACTTCGCAGTACTAGAGTAAAATTTAACCAGTTACTTCCACTTCTGAGTAGAAGTAGCGTCAATAAGTTCAGCAGTAAAAAGCTGCAGTTTGTGAACATTAGCAAGAGAATGTCTGACATTTTGTTTTGAAGGGCGATTA